GCTCACAGAGATGTGTCACTGTCAGGTTTGAGACATTTGGCTCAGTCCCTTCCTCACCAAAGCTCTGTAATGTGCAGTAATTAAGGACTAAGAGCCTTGACCGTGTTAGCGTCTCACCTTCTGTGCATCTGGGTGGAAGGTAGTGAATAAAGATGTGATCAGAAGCCAGGAGGCAAGACAGGAAAGAGAGGCCAGAACACAACAGGCTGGGAACTGGAGCCTGGACAGTGCGGCATCGGGGGGGGGCCATCCCGTGTGAACTCCCCTTGATGGGATATAACTCTAAAGTGATAACTGTAATATACAGCGGACCCTCCATAACTGCTCATAACCTCCCCACACTGGCCACCTCCTTAAGGTCACCTGACTTTCACAGATGGGACATGCCCGCATGTGTGTGTTCAGGCCTGTTCCTCCGTGCGTTGACTAGCTTGGTACAGCCCTTTGGGTGGTCCCTTCCAGAGTTTAAGTAAAGCCACATTGGGTCTCTAGGAGAATGAAAATAGAATGATGAGGGCACCATCTCCTTACTCTAAAAACCAGTACAAACGCAGGAAGAATCAGGCTTTGTCTCTGTCTTTCCTCTATGAGCCTTACTATTGGCTAAGCACATAGTAAACGGGCAGAAGTTTTTCTTTATAGACTCTTGCTAATTAACGAGAAAAGCAGGGTGGAGGAAGGGCACCCCCTGAGTTGGTGCCCAGTGAACTACTGAGTCTGTCCCTGGTCAGCACCCAGCAAGAGGCAGCTGCGAGCTATGGCCCCTGATGGAAGAGCAGTATCTGAGAAATAGTCTTGACAGAAGGCTTTGAACTCCATCCGGTTATTAACTGTAGGAATAAGAGGACATGGGAATGCGTTATTAAAGACTAGCATCAGATTCGGCAGAATGCAGGCTCTGGGAGGCATGACGGATCCTTCTGGTGTTTCATCAGCAGATAAATTGCAGAGCAGAGAGAGTGAGTGTGAGCAAGGGAACAGGGGAGGTGGGGGGGTCTTAGAGAGCAAAAGATTCCCAGCAGACATACCAGCTAAGTGCCATGAGTAAACTTAACTGGATCTTGATTCAAACTATTTAAAAATTACAGCATTTATGAGAAAATTGAAGATTTGAACACTGATTAGGTATTTGGTATTTGGGGATTAGTGTCAATTTTTTAAAAGTAATAATTGTGGTTTTTAAAAGAAATTAACTGGAGAAAATGAAAAAGTAGCACAGTTATAATGGTAAACTTTGTATTTCTTCGTTTTTAAACATTTTCCCTAAGAAACACGTGCTTTTTGTTTGTTTTACAGGTTGCTACATGACCTTAACTTTTCCAAAGATGAGATCCATAGTTTTACAGCATAATGAAGAGCTGTGATTGTCTTTTACTCAACTAGTTTATCTGAATTTGTGACCATTCGGGTTTTTAAAGAACACTTTTGTATATAATAAAAGGTTAACTAGTATCCAGGCTTTGGTTTCTTAAATGAAATCAAATGTTCTCTCGGTAACTTTTTGGCTTTCTTTTGTACCATAACTTATTTTACTATTGATATTTAACTTGGAAAGTCAGTCGTAGCAACAAATACATCCAGGATTCTTTGTTATGAATCACAGATTTCCTTACCATTTAAATTGTGTCACTGTTGTACAGTAAGCAGTTGTGTTTTATGATACGGTAAATGATCACTTTGATCACATTTCTATGCTGTAAGATGTCTAATTAGCAATACGATTAAGTTTTACATTGCACTGTTAACTCAGGAAATGGTCTTTTATGTCCTTGTTATTAATATTAAAACATGGAATGTTACAACTTACTAAGTGATCCAGACATTTGTGTGTGTGTGGAATTGATGCAGATGGAATAAAATTATTTATACTGAAGAACTTTTAATCCTTGCGGTGGAAATGTGCTTGGCTGCAGCAGAGTCGGAGTCCTTGTCTTCAGGGAACAGGGAATTAAAGTGGCCAGTAGAGATGGTGACAGATTTGACACTTCCCCCTGCGGCCCACTTGTTTAGAGCTGGGACAGCCTTGACAGCCGCCTTAAGTCTTAGCCAAAAACAAAGGAATCCGGAGAGAGAATGAAAGGAGCATCTAGTCCCATGGCCTTACAGTTGTCCCCAGTGCTTTGGAACGGTTGAATTTTAATTATTTTTGAGGCCGTCTAGGCCAGCTGGGAAAACGAGGGGCATCCTTCCCTGAGCAGTTCCTTCCCTGCTGGCTGCTTCCTCACCACTGATGACAGCTGGGCATGGAGCCACCCTGGGCTCTGGCCACAGGTAGCTTGTCCTTCCTTTCTGCTGCTGGACACAGCATTCAGGTGTTTTCACAGATGAGGATTCAGCAGAGGATGTCAAGAAAAGCCATCGTGAGCTTTTCATGAGGATGCTGTATTGGGTGCTCAGGCAGCTTCTGTGTGACCTAACTTGGATTTTCTGCCTTTCTCAGCAAAGGGGCACTGCTCCCACGGACCCAGGGGAGGGCAGAAGACTCTGGTTTCCTTGTAAATGATTTTGTTAGTGGCTGAGACTCCACTGGGTAGATGACATGCTGGGGAGAAACACAGTAACAACATTCCCCAAATTACAGACCCCTGGCTGGAGAGCCTGTATGCAAGTGCCTGGTTGAACTCTGTCACCATGTTCTGTACCTCTGTAGCTAATTCCACCCTCATCATTCACCAGGACAGGACTCAGCTCTCCTGGAATGGTGGTGCCCTCTGGGATGGCCATGCTTCCCAGGAATGGCTGTGCTCCCCAGGAATGGCTGTGCTCCCCAGGATGGTGGAGCCCATGGGAATGGCTATGTTTCCCTTGGGTAGCTGTGCTCCTGGGATGGCTGTGTTCCCAGAATGGTGGAGTCCCCTGGGATGGCCGTGTGTTCCAGGATGGTGGAGCCCCCTGGGATGGTAGTGTTCCTGGTGGAGCTCCCCAGGATGGCGGTGTTCCCTGGGATGGTGGAGCCCCTCGGGATAGTGGTGTTCCCTGGGATGGTGGAGCCCCCAGGATGGCGGTGTTCCCTGGGATGGTGGAGCCCCCAGGATGGTGGTGTTCCCCAGGATGGTGGAACCCCCGGGATGGTGGTGTTCCCTGGGATGGTGGAGCCCCTGGGATGGCTGTGTTCCCAGAATGGTGGAGCCCCCTGGGATGGTAGTGTTCCTG